ATTTCATATCACAATATATCTATGTGTTTCATAGACCGTCCACAGGATTTCATATCATAATATATCTATGCGTTTCATAGACCGTCCACAGGATTTCATATCACAATATACTTATGTGTTTCATAGACCGTCCATAGGATTTCATAACACAATATACCTATGTGTTTCATAGACCGTCCACAGGATTTCATATCACAATATATCTATGTGTTTCATAGACCGTCCACAGGATTTCATATCACAATATACTTATGTGTTTCATAGACCGTCCATAGGATTTCATAACACAATATACCTATGTGTTTCATAGACCGTCCACAGGATTTCATATCACAATATATCTATGTGTTTCATAGACCGTCCACAGGATTTCATATCACAATATACTTATGTGTTTCATAGACCGTCCATAGGATTTCATAACACAATATACCTATGTGTTTCATAGACCGTCCACAGGATTTCATATCACAATATATCTATGTGTTTCATAGACCGTCCACAGGATTTCATATCATAATATATCTATGCGTTTCATAGACCGTCCACAGGATTTCATATCACAATATACTTATGTGTTTCATAGACCGTCCAAAGGATTTCATAACACAATATACCTATGCGTTTCACAGACCGTCCACAGAATTTCAATATACCTATGTGTTTCATAGACCGTCCATAGGGTTTCATTCATTATTCTCGTTTTGGAAAATGATCACAATTTATGTTCATACTATCGCTTACTTGTACTAGCCACGGATAGTCATAGGACCTTAATGACATTATCATGTAAAGGAGATAAAACTCATCTCATAATGTTCACACATTCTTTCATTTCATTGGCACTATTAGCCACATATGTAATTCTCATTCTGGGCATGATGGCCACATTTAGTGTTCCATACTCACCCTTTTCACTTTTAAACATCATCATCATCAACAACAACAACAACAAGGTATTATAAATCAATATTTTTAGTAATCATGTGAGCAATTAAGAGTCTTAGGCACATAGAGATTTTTCACAAAATTTGGCATAATATCCTTCATTTGAACTTGACTTGAAGTCGCAATACTATTAACGCACAGCCCATACTTTGAACGTAATCTCAAATGACAACATAACATGATAAAGGTACTTTGGGATACCCATTGAACATATATCTTTCCACACAAGTTTATTCGAAATAGCCACTTTCATAATGAACAATTCGAGACTTACATAGATTACATGGATACCATGGGATTCAATTCTAGGAGAAAGGTTTAGCCAACATACCTCAATTGAGTTTTCCTTAAATTACTACAACGTTCCGAAAATTCTAGTAATCCCAATCTATTTTGAGACATAACAAAATTGAACCATAATTAGAAAGATATTCATGGTCTCAGCTCATTTGAGCATTTTATCAAACACTAGGTGTGCAAATTTAACCACAAGGTCCTTCTACAAGATTTCCTCCGCTCCACAACCCAATCCTTACTTATTTAAGCTCAACAATCTTTCCACAATTTTTATTGGTACATTCATGTATAAATAATACTCTCATACCCATGAATCATACTCCTAATCAACCATCTTCTACCCAAATTCAAAATTGAAAACTAGGGTATGGAACCTTACCTCTTAGATGAAGAACTTGTGGGTTTTCCTTGTTAATCTTCCAAGATTTGAGCAAGACTTGATGAATAATTAGCCTAGGGTTTCCTCTCTCTCTAAAACATTCTCCCTTCTCTCTAAAACATCAGAATTTTTGCTCAAAAATGACCCTTTGCGTGTATTTAACGAAGTAGGGTCGGGTTTTAAAAACTTAAAAATGGAGCTCCGGAATAGGTTCTGCGATCGCATAATCAATATGCGAACCGCATATCGGTCGCATAGTTGCTAACCAAAACGACCAAAAATTTATCTATGTCTGCGGTCACTATGCGGTCTGCATAACTATTATGCGGTCGCATAATGCACCGCATAACAGTTATGCGGTCGCATAGTCGACTGCATAATTGCTTCCAGACTGACCCTCTTCTGCTCACTTCTGCGGCCCGCAGAGTGGTTCTGCGGTCGCATAATGGACCGCAGAAACGCGCTTTTCCGCCAAAAATTTTTTTTTACATTCCGATGCATTGTTCAACCCAAAAAGTCCGAGCCGCGGCTCGCAATCTCGCCGCAAAGAATTTCAAAAATCCTCAAACACGTATACCTACTCCGGCACCACGTAACCTTAAATTCATTTGCGAAATTTTACTGGGCTTTATACTTAAATACTTCGGCAAAAAATTCCGGGGTGTTATAGTGTTCTTGGAGAGTTGGGAAATCCATCAAAAAGACTTGGTCAATGGTACTTGGTGCTATTTTTTGGAGTATTTGGAATGAAAGGAACCGTAAATGTTTTGATGGGATCTTAACTCCCAACAACACTCTTAAAGCCACTTGTTTAATTAACTTACTTAGTTGGTTCAATCAGACCCCTGTAACTAGTGTTGAACTATTTCTGGATTTTGTCTGCTCCTTAGCTGTCCTGTAAGTTTTTCTATATGAGCAGACAATACCTTTATGTTGTAATTTTTGCTATGCATCTTCTTGATGCCATTTAATGAAATTCCCTCACTTCGTCAAAAAAAAAAATCTAGATAAACAAAATAAAGCGCCCACTGCTTTTCTTCTCCTCTTTTTCTTTTGGTTTTGCTGTGCCGATAAAATTTCAGAAGAGAAGGTTGAAGGGGAGCGGTTTAGAGCAAGGGTGCGTCTTGTATAAAGACTCCGTTTTGCTCCTTAAGTGTACACGCAAGAAAGAAGAAAAGGAAAGAGGGAAGAAGGTTACCTAATCTGAAACATACATAGTCTGTATGAAAATCACACAATAGGTTCAATGATAGAAAAAATAATAAAGGTATATAATACTTGTAACATATTTCCAGAAAGTCCACCTTAACATATTAGTCATTTAACATTGTAACGCTCAGGGGAGTAAGCTACTTGCTTAAATAAAATTTGGGACATAACTCACAAACTTGTTTTAAATTACTAATTAACATTAAAAAATAATCTTCTAAATATTCAAGAGAAAGAATAAAGGAGGCTTTTATTTTCACAATAAATATGTAGGTTCTAACAGCAAACTTTAAGCTTAAAACCTGACTTCTGATATAGCTTGAGACTTTGGTTTGTATCCACATGCTCCATCAAACCAATATATATTCAACTAAGAACAGATGGAATAATTCCTAAAGACATGGATCCTAAGGGAAAACGAAATAAATCTAGTCCAAATCTCACCACGTAAATAGCACTTCAGAACACTCAATCGAGCTAATGGTAGAGTGCTGAAATTTCTAACTTATGATCTAAACAGAATATTATCCAGTCCAGAAAGTCTATTCAAGATATCAACAAGCATTCTGATTTTAACAGACTTTACTAACCATAGAAAATAGCCTAATCATGCTTTAGCCATAAACTTTCTAGAGTAGGGTTTTTGACAAACATGGAAAATTACGTGTATCAACACACATCAAACAGATAAATAACTATCCTGTTGGTTTGATTACCAAATTTTGAATGAAACGAAATCACAGTTTCTACAGTATCACATAAGACGTGCCTAACGTCGTCCATAGATAAACAGTCATCATTTCTGCACTAAGAAAAGAAGGGGCTAGATATATGCTCTCTAAGACAATTTTCAAGCATAAGACATATAATCAGAATAAGGACATTCATTGGCCCTCATTGTTATGAGATTTCTTAAGATGCGCAAAAAAAGAACCTAAGTAGCATGAACTCTAAGGCAACAAAGATTTGTGACTGGCATTTAGGCGGCATCAAAAAGAAGCATGACCAATATTTATTTTCACAACATCTACCATTAACGGATCCCAATCATACATAAACAGTTTGATAAACATTTGCCATTCACGTTTTTTATTAATACACAGCCAACATAGTAACTTCCCTAAAGAACATGATTTCTAATATGCTATATCAAACACAGAGCCTTCAATCAGTACCCAAAAATCAACTATAACATGGCAAATAGGGTAAACTGTAAATGGACAAAAACAGAAATATAGAGGTTTAGATCTAACCTACTTCAAAGCATTGATCTGGGCTCTGAGAGGCCGTTTCAGATTTACTCCTCCTCAAACAAGATCGAACCATACAAGGATTGAGAGAGGTTAAAAACTGGGATTTTTAGAGAGAGTAGATAGTCTGGAATTTTCACCCGGTTCGACCGTGGTTAAGCTGTAATAAATAACCAGTATTTACAGTGAAACTGGGGTTTGAAAAATAGGATTTCAAATTTGAGTTTGAAAATCATACTCCCTCCGTTTCAATTTATGTGAACCTATTTCCTTTTTAGTCCGTGCCAAAAAGAATGACTCATTTCCTTATTTGGAAACAATTTACCTTTATGCAATGATTTATAGCCACACAAAATATATGTGTCTCATTTTACACCACAAGTTTAAAAGTCTTCTCTCTTTTCTTAAACTCCGTGCCGAGTCAAATGAGTTCACATAAATTGAAACGGAGGAAGTATTAATTTAGGGTTTTGAAAATTGAAAATTTAGAGAGATTGAATGTTCAGATGCACAACCAAGTAACGAAAAATGAAGGCATAAGACTTTGCTGCTTTTCCTATTCAAGGAACATAGACCTTCAAGGAAACAATCAAGTAGGAATGATCCATCTCTAAAGGGGCACTTAGACATATCAAAAGCACAATTCAACCTGAGAACTATAAAATCTAGAATTACCTTTGGAATCTCCATAGGCTGCTCTATTTTGCAGATATCCCATGAAGGTTCTCCATTAGATTTATGTGCATCTTAGTGCAATTCGAGCAAACAGTGTTAACTCAATATGAAACACCACATTATAAATACATATTCTTTAAACATTCCAATGCCAAAATAAAGGGTCTAAGCAATTGTAAATTCCGATAGTTCATCTCCAGACATTCATATCTCTCTTAATTTACCAGATGCAGCTCAAACTATTGGAGGAAATAGAAATCATTAGCTTAATGTAAGTTACAGAGCATGCGAAGAAACTTGAGGAAGACTGAAAGGGCTAACCTTATAAGGTTGCCAGGCAACAGTGACTTCACTTACTATTAGCATAAGTTAATCAGAAGAGCCCTCAGCTTTGGATTACACACATTATGGCCAGTTTACAAAATTCTTCATGAATCAAATCACATATAAACTGGCCTAAAAAGTACATAAACAAGAAATTCATAAAGCTGAACCTTGCAACAAACTGTTTACTTCTTGAAGCCCATCAACGACGGTATCTGTGACGCTTGAAGTTAAAATACAGATGCAGAATTCCTCGATCGAATATGCACTTGAACCCCTTTTTATGAGAGTACTCCCATTCCCTGTTAACAATTCGAAAAGCTATATCCTCATAAGGAGGGCCAGCATGGAACTTTATGATGCAAGTATCAGCACTATCTCCATCTTTCTCTATGACATAAGTTGGAGCTTTTGCTTTGTCAACGAGATCAGGATAAAAGATATTGAATTTGTATCCCTGCACAATCTTAGGAGGGGGGTTATCGTGATCATAATGAGTTTGATTATACTTGTTCCATTCATAACCAGTATGAACACGGTTGAAATACTTCGGTTTCCTCGGCCTATACTTGTCGTGCCACCAGTACACCTGTGAATCAAGATTAATTTCGTCGTTTGAGCCAAATACTGCATCCCCTTCCTCCATCACTCCCATAGATTTAAATGCTTTCTTCTCAAAGTTGTTGTCTTCTGCGGGAGTTGGTGTCAAAACCTTATCTTGTGCACGTCTCTCTTCCAAAACAGCCATACGTTTCCTCTCAAGTATTGCCCTGTCTTCTTCAGGATCAACTGCTTCTTCTTTGTCATCACCGTGCATTAACACAGGCGAATAAGAACCAGCCTCTTCATCATCATCTTCTTCCTCTTCCTCCACCTCCTTCTCCTTAGCCTCCTCATTCAAGAAGAGCTCCGGAGACATAGCTCTAACCTCGTCTTGATCATGCTCCATATCTTCCTCATTAGTCCTCAATGTCTCTTCTTCCACCTCTACATCGCGACTCTCCAATGGTTTCTCAAGATGCTCAAGATGTTTGCGCAGCATTTTTGCGTGAATTTCCCTCAAACAAGCCTTTGCCTTAAAAATCTGAAGCCGCTTAAGAACAGCTTCC